AGCCTATTTATGTACGAACGATGTGAAATTCAATTGAAACCTATGGGATTCTCAACTGATTGTGGGAGAATTCAACTATCAGTATACTCCTTATCACACTGACCGAATCAAAATGTATACATTTCATGTATGCTTGCCACGTAACGAAGATGACACGCTTTTGTGGTGATTTGACTTGAAACTGTCTTGAAAGTGGGCAGGCCAAAATGCCACTCTTTCTCGGTCTGGACTGGAGTTGTTGAGCTTACTTACATTTCGAGTGAAGAGATTCGAAGCTCGGTTCCACCAGAAGACGACCACGGATTCCTCTTGTCCAGCCGTCGATTGGCTTTAACGAAACATCCATGCTGACGCTGTTTCCGAGGCAATCTCTTTCGATTGAGGTGAAGAGGTACTAAGCTTTCGTGAGTCATATGACGAACATTATCTGAGCAAGGTATCATCTTTACAACAAAATTGAAGCTAACAAGTCAAAAAAACTCACCGGCAAATCCCTAAAAAGTGGTACATCTGACCTCTTTGAACATTTATAAAGTGATTTGATTAGGTAAGGTCATATGTCAACTTCGATGCCTGTAAGTGTGTTTGTTTCTGTATGCTCTTATGATGTCCGTCATATGACGGACGAAAGCTTAGCACCTTTTCACCGGTTCGAAGGAGATTGCCTCGGAAACAGCGTCAGCATGAATATTCGAGTAAAGCCAATCGACATCTTTTGGTGGAACCGACGTTCGAATCTCTTCACCGCACACTTTTAACTCAAAATGGAAGTAAGCTGAACAATTATGAAACAAGAGATTTCTTGAAACCCAGCTTTTCTTCCCATAAGGACCACAGTTGCCAGCTTGGCGGGACTCGAAGCAGAACTGAGTTAAAGCAACGAGGCAGTAGGAGACAATTGTTGTCCAGACTAGAGGAGTTCGGTCACGCTCAAAATGGTCTCATTTCTGGTACCAATCGGCCCTTTCAGGTGCAGAAACTGTTGAGCACCAACAGAGCCGCTTTCATCGTCTGTGGCCTTTGCGGCCTTCTTGCCTTGGCCGGCTACGTGGCCGGGATTTCGGTACAAATACGTCGTGAAGCCGTGCTCAAGGCGCTTCAGGGCGATCGGGCCGAGCGACTTGAGGTCAACTTGGATGAGGTGGAGACGAAGGGACGCGGAGTCTGAGACTCCCGGAGACAGCCAGTGACCGAGAGTCGTCCCGGCAGCTTCAGAAACCTCCACTCGGTCATCCGGAATACTGGTTTGGTGCAGAAAGACCGATCCAAACCTGCAAGTGATCATCTGCAAACGCTGGCTTCACTTCTGACGGACTCGGTCGTGAGGCCTATTCAAAACAGCGCCTCAATTGTCTTTTCTCCCATTCTCTCACACTACTTGATTCGTTAAATGGTTATACAATACAACTTGTCGGTTTTCTTTCCCCATTTTCTTATGCACCATTTAACCCTTCACAATTTCCGCGCCCAGTTACAGCCTACAGGCTGTCCCGAGTCCCGAGACTCGAACTTTTCTGACAGAAAATTTCCTGTACTTCCAGGCTCTCTGGTGTCTTTGGGTTGTTTGCTTTAGGAGAGGAGTTTTGCCAAACTAGCCACTTGGGCGTTAGCTTGGCCCATACAAACATCAATTTGGCGCATGCTATGTGTATTTCCTTGACTCTTTCTACTCATCTACAGGCCTTAAGTCCTTGTCTTATTGGTATACATTTGGTGTTTCATACTGATCTCATACTCTAGTTTTGCACTTTGAACAAGTCCTCACTAATTCAGAACATAAAACTGTCTATTTTTTGTTTGTAAGTAGGTATTCGAGACTACCAGTAGCTCATGGATATAAG